GAAGCCACATGGAAGGATTTCTGGAGAGAGCACCCTGAATCTGCTTCTCCATCCAAAAATGATAATGCAGTCAGTCAACTACCACTGACTTGGTGGGCATCTCTCACGAACAAAAACTAGGTGATGATGCACATAGAGCACATGTGATGCAATTGGCTAGCCGCTTCTCACATTAACATCCAGCTTGTAAATGTTCATTCACTTACAGGGATATTTCACAGTTCAGCTGGGCTTGGAGAGGAGCAAGGAGGACTAGCTCCTACATAAACCTAAGTTGTAGGGGATACTCTGTATGTGGTTCAAGTATCTTTTCATGTTAGTCACTTTGCCGCTGAGGTTAGGTGATGGTCTTGACCCCAGAGGTAAACTGTGTTTTAGACTATACAACCCAGTAACTACAATTGAAATCATGACGTGAGATTCAGTGTGTATTCTGGAAAGAGCAAGTGCTAGGCAGTGAAGAAGCATGTGTTTTAGCCCCTTTGACTATTCATGTGATTGGCATGATTTCTTTCTCTATTTTCTTTTTTTAATAATTTATGATGTGTAGCTTACCTAAGCACTATACGTCATATTATCACGTAATTTTCATGACATGCCTGTGACATAGGTACTGTTAACTGTATGTTTTACCAATGAGGATGCAGACAGTTGGCCCCAGGTCACACACCTAGAAAGGTATGGCACTGGGATTTCAACCCCTGTAAAATGATTCCAGAGTCTGTAGCTTTAAATCGTGTTACTACTTATTTCTCTTCTAATTTTATTGAGCATTTGACATTTTCAGTACTTAGAAATCCATTGCTTCCATCTTAATAAGAACTTCTACAACCCTCATGGTTTTTATAGGCCCCAGTGTCACTGACCTGGTGTCTGACAAACTTAATCTTTTTCTCCATCTGTCCACATAATAAGTATAAGAAACCAGGGCAAGTGAGCTCAAAGTCAAAAGGAAAAGCCAGCAGCAGGGCATGCTGTACGGCCTTTCCCGAGGAAGAGACAAGACTCAGGAAGCACATTTGTGACACACCATGCACTTTTCGGGGTGTGTCAGTCATCTTTGGCAGATCCTGTAGATAATTCTGCATTAAAAAGCTCATTGCATGCTGTGAAAAAACAGACAATATTCATTGGACACTTGATTTCTTGTGCCCAGGGTTCATAATACTAAGTATTTTCTGTGCTTTTGAGAACCCTCCTAAGTTATCTTTTTTAAAAAAGTAAGTTTCTAGTCCTAGGAGGTCAAATGCAGAGGTTTTGGAATAGAGGCATGCATTTGAAAGGTAGGTCAACACCGAAACTGATGTTAACAGCAGTTTACTGAGTGCCCTTCTAGTGTCAGGCACGCACTACCTTTTATCACCTCACATAAGCCTAGGTTAGTTATCAGACCCCTGGGCAGCGGTTTGCCAAGACGACCCAGCTTCCCAGGTGGTTGGACCTTATGTGAGCCAGACAGCGAGTTGCACGGAGGGAGTGGGCTCTCGAGCCGGTCACTCAGGTGCAACGGCCTCAGATGGGCTCACATGCAGCACCAGCAGCAGAGGACCTTAGTTTTTCCCTGCCATTCACCACGTCCATTCACTCCTGTCATGGGGCCTGCTCAGGTCTTTCCCCTCCGCCCCCCACAATTAGCCACACACGTTACAAAGGCCAAAGAGAACATTACTTGTTTTGAAGAAACCTGACATCCTTGTCACCTGGACTGAGGAAGTGCTGGTGTAGAAGCACTGCATTATCTTGAGAATGGTTTAGAAGCCAGGAAGACAGTTGTAAACAGGTGACCGTAATTCAAACGTGGCCTAGATGTCTTGCCTCCCATTAAACATATGTGCTAATCACAGCCTCGCACTTCCTACCGGCACTTGCTCCTAAGGAATCTTAATTCAGAATAACTGGTGAGATAGTTTTATGGAAACACCTCTGAACAGACTGCACTCCTTCGCCGCTGTAGCTGGCTTGATTCATTCTCTGGGGACATTCCTCCATCAGGATGCTCTCCACTTCTTGCCAAGTATGTGATCTTACCGTCCAGTCTATCTGGGATTTCAAGTTTTCAGTTTTAGGAGGAATGACGCCTCCAAGTTTTAAGAGGACTTGGAAAGAAAATGGCAAAACTGCTTTCTATAAATTTTGAAGAATCCTGGAGGCTGGGAAAGGTGCTGGAAAACTAAAAATGCACAGTTGGAATCCTGGTTTGGGTGAGTCTTCAAATGGAGGAATCTCATCACAAGATTCTTGAGAATTTCTTAGGATTAACATGTAAAATGTTGAAGCAGTTGGTAAGCACATTGTGCCAGGCAAGTGAGTTAGTTACTTCTTCCCTCCCTTCTTCCTCCTGTCTTTTTGCCCCCTCCCTCTCTGTAGTTAGCAGGATTACAGGGCTGGTAGATAGCAGATGTGGTATCAGCTGGTACGCAGATCTTTGGAATTGAGAACCGAGGACTAAATGAGAGAAGAGGTGTGCAGGTTTATAAAGGTGTGCAGGGTCTCTCAAGAGGGATGAGGATGTTTGTAGACCCATTCTCATCTGCTTGAGATTACCTGAGTAATAGCTTAGGTAATAGTTTCCCCTCTCTACACCCTCCTGAGTGTACAGACTGATACTGGGGTTCGCTCAGTGCCCTGCAGCACTCAGTGTCTGACACATAATAGACGCTCAATAAGATGTTGAAGGAATCAGTATTTGTCCACCTAGTATTGCCAGTGTATTATTGACTTCTTACATTTGTGAAAGCAGATGGAGTGAGTGAGAGCTGGGAATCCAAGCTAATCTCGCTTGAGATTACCTGAGTAATAGCAGAAGTTCTGCTTCTAGAAGTTCTGGTACTAGTAGTGTCTCTGGGGTCTCCCTTCACTAAATCCAGTTTACAACTCTGGAAAATGAAATGCATGTGAGCTACGAGTGACTCCTGAAACTTCCACCTGTTGTGTATACAAGGAGTGCAGTGGGAAATGGAAGTCCTTGTCTTTACCCATGCTTACCAGCTTACATGTCCTGCCCTTTTCACAGTCCCCTTGCACAGGTATGTGTTTGAACACTAAAGGCAGAGGGAGCACCTTGTGACCCCAGCGGCCTCTGCCCACTTGCTGCGAGTCTGATTGAGTCCTAGATGCCACCAGGGTTCAGCTGCTTTTGAGAGGAGGCAGCTGTCTTTTGCAAAAGCGAAACAGGGAAAGACAACACTGCCAAAGAAAACAAAGCCTGTTGTTAAACATGGTTTGTTCTTATGGTCCTTTCAAAAAATGCTTGTAAAGGGCAGGTTTTATGCTGGACTTGAATATGCAATAATTCTCTTGACCCTACGTTCAGACTGACTTTGCATGGCTCTTGGCCTGTGAGCAGTGTGCCAGAACGAAGCTGCCAATTCCCCCTCACGTTGCTGCTCATCACCGAACAGACACTCACTGGGTACCTCTGTCTGCCCCTTGACGCTTAGAAGCACCGTAAAACTTCAGAAGTGCTCTCTTACACTCTGGAGTATTTTAGTCATCGTGGCAGCGCTGTGGGAGAGGTTGGACAAGTGTCCTTCATTCTGACTGCCAGATGAAAACACTGAGGCTCAGAAGGCTTCATTGGTTTTTAGAAGATCATAAAATAAACCTGTTTTAGCAGATCCCCAACTAGAATTTTGTTTGGCTCCTAGTTCTTGTATGTTCTGGAGAAAAGAGTGTGTACTTAAAAGTAACTATTTAAAAAAAAAAAAAAAAGGTAACTTTTTATAGAAGGTGTCATCAGCGTCACCCATATTGTGGCACTTGCTGTAGGGACATTTGCGCCTCTGCCACCGCCTCTCACCTCAGCCCCCCGCGCTGCCATTCACACTCACAGACGCTTGTCTCTGCGGCAGCGGGGGGCTCTGTCAGGGTGTAAATCACCTCAGGCCACGTCACTGCCCCCGTCTCCGCCTCAGGTACAGGAAAAGCCACATCCTTACGACTCTGTGCTAGAACCTTCCTTGACCAGCACCCCCACTGCCTCTGACCATATCGCCCTCTCCTTCCTCTCCCTCCTCTCCCTCCTGTCCTTCATCAGTCCCCTCCCTTCTCCGCCTCCTTGCCATTCCTCAGGTGCTGCAGGCCCACATCCCACAGACCTTTGCCTTCCTCTGCTTGAAACTCCCTTCTCCCTGACAGCCGCAGTACCTGCTCCCTGGCTGGCCCAGGTCTCTGCTCAGACGTCAGCTTCATGGGAGGCCTGCCTGACTCCACGCCTCCACGTGCCAGCCGTGCAGCCTCATCACATACTTACTCCTTGTCCCCCTGGCCTTGCTTTATGGTATATTTTTATCAATTACTTATCACCACCCAAGAAATAAATATATTGCCCGTTGCCCCTCACTACACCCTCCTGAGTGTACAGACTGATAACTGGGGTTTGCTCACTGCCCTGCAGCACTCAGTGCCTGACACATAATAGACGCTCAGTAAGATGTTGAAGGAATCAGTATTTGTCTACCTAATATTGCCAGTGTATTATTGACCTCTTATATTTGTGAAAGCAGATGGAGTGAGTGAGAGCTGGGAATCCAAGCTGCTAATTAGCTATCATGTAGAAACAAATGGACACCTGAGCCAAAGCCCTGGCCCTCTCTACCACTTGATAATTTGTGTGTTTAAAAACTGAAATAGCATCCTCCTGTATGAAGTTTTATTTAGGCTAATATGAAATTATACCTGTGAAGTTGCTGGGATGCTCTCTGTGACACCTAAAAATAACTCTCACGTATCAAGGGCTGTTCTGAATGACAGCTGGTTTATGGTTGGTCTAAAGTGATGAGTTTTAGGGTGCTGAATTTAAAAATGTCTTCTATTTAGGCTTCTTATTTGCCATTTCTGTTGTATTATATTTTACTGGCAATTTGTGTTTAAGAAAATATGTCAAGATTTCACATAAAATTCAAAGGTCATTGAAATATAGGAGAAGTTTGGAAATAGATTAAACCTTAGGTTCACATATTAACCATGCTTTATGATGTCTTTTTTTTTTCCCCCTTTAGTGTTGCCCGGAATATCAGAGAATTGGGAACGATCCTATTTTGGGATCGTCCACCTACTGTGGTGGTTTATAAACAAGGATAACTGACTATGCCCCCCAGGAAGTCACTGGTTCTCCGCCAATTATGAAGTTAAATGAAGGATGGCCCCTAAGGATTTTATCATGTGAAGTCTTGCTGGATTTTCTGGCTTTCTCTTTTTAGAAATGCAAATAAAGAAGATGAAGGATATTGGACAGCAGTTATATACCACCCAAGGGAATAACGGACATAATTCCTTGACCATGTCACCCAAACAACCGAATGCTAATAGAGTGATTCGACCAGATAGACAAGAAGCGCAAGCTCTTTTGTGTCAAGGCTCAGAGGCCGAGGCTGCCATGATGACCATTGCTACGTGTGCGAAGTGCAAAAGTGTTCACAAAATCCCGCTTCAAGATTTGAAAAAGGCTACTGGGCCAAGCCAGAAGGAAGACAAATATGTTTGCTTCAAATGCAACCTCGGTGTGGCTACTCCCCATTTTCATTTTGTGAACAGTAATCCCAGTGCTACTCCTATAGGAAATAAAGCCGAAGCCATCGCTGGTTCCGTTAATAAATTTAAGGTAAGGAACTTCAAGCCAGGCAAATACTATTGTGACAAATGTCGGTTTTCCACAAAGGACCCTCTGCAGTACAAAAAGCACACTCTTCAACATGAAGAGATTAAATTCATCTGTTCTCACTGCAGCTACATTTCCTACACAAAAGGGGAGTTCCAGAGGCATCTGGTGAAACACACAGGCATATTCCCATACCAATGTGAGTACTGTGACTATGGTGCTATTAGGAATGACTACATTGTCAAACACAGGCGGAGAGTACACGAGAGGGTCGGGGGAAGGCGGCCGCCCAAAACTGTTGCCAAGCTGGAGCCAAGAAGAACCAACACATCGAAACAAAACACAGAGCTCTTAAAACCTCCCAATCCAAGGACTGCATTTCCAAATAAGTTGTCCGATCAACTCTCAAGGTTCTCCCTCCATACAAATAAAGACAAAATGCACAATATTATGTTGTTGCCTGAATCAAAGGAATACCAAAAAGATGTAGTGTGTATTCCGAATAAAGTGACCCTTTCGGAGCCCAACGAGGGCAGTGTGTTTGAGAACCAAAGCGTGGAGGTAGAAGTGTTGTCCCCGGCAAAAGAGCCGGTGCAGCCGGGAATGCCGTTAACAGTGGTGGCACCGGCAGAACTCGTCGTCCCTGCCAACTGCTTGGCCCAGTTGATGGATGTGAAGGTCGTCAACGGGACCCAGCAGCTTGTCCTCAAACTGTTTCCTCTGGAAGAAAGTAACCGCCCTGAAGCTGCTGGGAGTGAAGGGGGTGATTCTGAGCATATGACTAAAGAGAAGGGTTCGGTCGGACCAGGAAAAATGGTTTCTGCAAGCCAAACGAAGTCCCTGGCGATGGAAGGGCATGTTGGGAAACTGACAGGCATTGATAATCTTCAGTCGTCAGTTCAGAAACAACTTAAAAATGTGAAGTGGGTCAGGTCTTATGATTTTTTCATGTCAAATTCTAGTGCGCACAACCGTGGAGAATCCCTCCTCAACCTGGACACAGTTGAGGATTTCCAGAAAAATAGTATGTATCCACATAGACCGGCTCTTCCTTCTCTCTCCTTGAAAGGTCATTCTCCGGCATCTGTAGCAAAAAACAGTGTTTTCCACAGTCTCGGCACTGCGTCCAGCCCTTTCCCTTATAAAGCTGCTGTTTCTTTGGCTGAAGATGGAAGGAACCCGCATGGCGACTTGCAGCAGTTACTTCCCCGGGCTGTGTCACCTGCAACCATGTCCTTCTCTGGAGAAAAGCGCTTGTTGCCTCTAAGTCCCAATAGCTTGGAATCCAGAAAGGAGATCAGTATTCCTGTAAAAATGGTTCCCTCTCATAGGAAGTCAAAAGACAAGCAGATGGAGGAACCCAAGGCAGTTTCAAATACAGGCCAGATTTCCTCTCAGCCTAAAAGCGAGTACTTGCACATAAATATATCAGGAGACGATAGAATCAGGTCTCAGCCACCCAGGGAGGAGCCTTTGGAATTAAAGAATCCTGAAAGGACTAAGGACTCTTTCGATGGTCCAGTCATCTCATCAGTATTTTCTCTGAGCTCTGGGTCTGAAAACGTCCCTGAGGGTGTTAAGTGGAATAGCTCAACGTCCAAAATAAAGTCAATTGAACTCTTGCGCAGAAAGATAGCTCAGTTAATCGAATCCTGTGGCAAGCCGTCATCTTTGTCTGCAAATAACGCACATCGCCGTTCTGTAGGGCAGGCATCAAAGGGAACTTCGAAAGCTGCTCCTGAAGGTATTCACGAAATTAACGTGTCATTTACTGGCCCTGGCTATTCCACAGGCACGCTCCCAAAACCTCAGGATGATGGTGGTCTTAATGGGCCGCTCACCCAACAGCAAATCTATCCACAGTTTATAGAAGGCAGCAGTGGGAAAACTGAAAGCAGAGTAACCAGGAACGCCCATGTTGCTACTCCAGTGTTGATCCCCAAAGGAGCTGTGTTGAGGGTTCTTAATTCTTCAGAAGACGCCCACATTATAGAGGCAACGTGCGAAGCACCCGTCAGCATACCTTGCAGTGAGAGCCAGTTAATAAAACCCATTCCGTTCTGCCCAGTGAGACAGACAGACTCAGACTTACAGTCTTTGACAAGTGAAAGCGGGCCAATAAACATGTCCCAAAATCTTGATATACCTCTTCGGCCAAAACCAAGAAAAGAGAGTGCTATTTGTGGCACCATGCCTAAAAAAACTAGCCCCTGGCACGGGCAACAAGGAAGCAGTGAACTGAGTAAGCAAGGCAAACTGCTTTCCAGAAGTCTTCCCATAAGTAAAAATAAAACCAAACAAGTGAACTCATCCAAGAAGAAAAGCAAAATCCAGGCCGATCCCAGCCACTATCTCAAGGATCCTTCAATTTTTCAGGTTGCAAGACAGCTTCGACTGATCGCCGCTAAACCAGACCAGTTGATTAAGTGCCCCCGTCGGAACCAGCCCGTCATTGTGTTAAACCATCCTGATGTTGACTCTCCAGAAGTCTCCAATGTGATGAAGGTAATCAACAAGTACAAAGGCAATGTCCTCAAAGTCGTCTTATCGGAGAGGACTAGGTGCCAGTTAGGCATCAGACGGCATCACGTTCGCCTGACCTACCGCAACGTGGAGGAGGCCAATCAGATAAAAAGGCAGATGATGTTGAAAATGAAACTTAAGAAAGTGCATAAAAACAACTACCAGGTGGTGGATTCCTTGCCTGATGACTCATCACAGTGTCTATTTAAGTGCTGGTTTTGTGGGCGGCTGTATGAAGACCAGGAGGAGTGGATGAGTCATGGCCAACGGCATTTGATAGAGGCAACCAGAGATTGGGATGTTCTTTCTTCCAAGGGCAAATAAGTAAAAAACGGTCTTTGAAGCAAATTGTTTTTCTTACTTTTAGTTTATTCTAGTTTGTTTGTCCCCCGCCCCCCGACTCAGTAGGGGAAATACAGATCGTAGGAATGGGAGGACCGCTCATTCTTCAGAAACCTTGTAGGAATGTTGAGAGCCAGGAGTCTTAACCTGAGATAAGAGACTGGACCTTGGAAGGTATTGGAAGCCCCTGAAATAGTATGCACAAATCTATACATGCATTTTTCTGGAGAGAAGTGAAACTTCCAGATTTCCAATGGGATCTGAGACTTTTCTTTGTTTAGCACCCCTTTTTTCTGAGTAGGTACAAATTTTCTGTGATCAGAGGGGCAAGTTTAGAGTGTTTTACACATTGCATACAAAATGCTACTGAGGAATTAAACCCTATCTTGGTGTGCACATCCGTTTTTTTCTGCATTAACTCATGTGCTGCATATTTGGTACATAATGGAAATTATACTTTCTACTTTGTTATCTTAAATTTGGTTATAGAAAAGTGGCTATTCTTTGAAACTCCTCACCCACTCGGCAGTACTCAGAATTGTTGTCTTTAGCACAGAGCATTGTGGTTTTGTTGGCCACTTTAAAGAGTGATTCCAAGGGTTTGCCTGAGCAGTAGATGTTAGGGGAGGAAAGAAACATTTTTAAACCTTTGCTTTCTATTTGAATGTCCTGATTTATGACAGTTGGGGAGGAAATGTGCCTTTAAAAAAAAAAAAAAAAAACGGCATGGTCACAGAGGGAAAATATCTAAAAGTAAGGCTCCTGTTTGCCCGTACCACCCTCACAAACATAAAGTAACCAATTTAAAATGTGAATGAACAGGCTTCTTACGACATAGATAAAACTGGGGAAGACAGTTCAAGGTAGGATTGTGAAGAGACTTACGACTTTAACGTAACCATTAGTTTTCACCTGAGGACTCAGGCACAGACTGGGGGCGGAGGCTGAGCTCTCTCTCTCCACCACTTAGGATTTTGGACACTGCCCCCCAGCCCGTAGCCTGCTGTCCCTCCGGCAGTTACCTGAACCAGCTCTCCTGCGGAGTGACACGCTCCCCTGCCCACCTCCTGTCCCGTTCCTTTTGTGCCTTTGAGGCCCCCTAAGGCTTTCCCTCATGAAAATACAAAAAAACAGGCAGGAATCCACAAAATAGAAAAACATCCCACCATCTTTGTGGAGCTTATAGAAACACTATTCCCAGTTTTCACCGGTAGTCACAGCCTGCTTCTAATGTATCTTCTCCACGGTCTTGTTCTTCTCGCTCACCTTTCCTGGGTAGTAACTCTCGAGAACACCTGCTTCCCTCTCCACCAGCAGACGCCAGGACCACGGCTGGTCCACACAGCACCTTTGTGTGCATTAGGAAACACTCCCTCTGCACCTCCACCACCCCGTGGGCAGGTCGGTGGCCTGGCTGAGGGAGCTCAAGCGGGATTTCGTCCTTGCTCGCCCACTCCACCAGGAAGCGACCACCACGCTGAACACACCCGCAGGGCGGCCCCGGCTCTGTTGTCCTCACTTTAAGACCGCTCCTTCCTTAGGGAATTCAGTAGTGCAGTGAATGAAACTGGGGGGCCATTATTATCTGAAAAAGACTTGAGTGAGATTTCCATTTTGTTGGTTAGTTGGAACTTTCGGATTTTTTTTTACACGTGTGAAAGACTATCTTCTGATAGGTGGGATTGTAATTCTTTGTAGTTGGTTCTCATTACAGATAATCAACATTTCTTATGTCTAATTGAATACATAATCATTAAGTTGGCTAATTGGTTAATTTTTATTGAAATTTAAAACTTGGGTTTTTTTATATGTGTATATATGCGTGTGTGTACACATATAAATATTTTTTACCATACGAAAACTGCAGTAGCTAATTTTCTGATTTCCTATTTTATAATGAAATTATGTGGGCTGGAAAAATATAAGACATTTTATATTCTAGAAATTATTTTGGAAGCACATTTTTATAATGGTGTGATCTCATTTTTAGAAAATGAAAGCACAAGTAAGTGATGAATCTTGATTTATATGAACAAACGAGTAGAAACTCCTGAGGATCATTTCGTTGCAGTATTTCATCCCTTTGCATTTCTAGTTGGTGCTTTTTGGGAAATGGATCCTGTGTACCACTTCACCACATAGAGGAGAGTGCCCTGAAGTGTGAGCCGCGTGTAGATGTGTATCCTGCCGGCACGATGGAAGGCTCCCAAGACACTGAGAAGGGAAGGCTGTGATTTTTTTTTTCTTCCTCCTTCTATACCTCACTGCTTGGTAGCATCTTTCTCGAGAGGCTAGAGCATGACCTTTCAGGAAAGATGACCATGAATCAGGTCAGAGTGTTAAGTAAGTGTCCACATGAAATATACTTTGCAGCATCAGCCGCTTTTCAAGTATTACCTAAAAGTCCGCTTATGTAACTTATATGGAGCTCAATTTTATAAGTAGACTATGTAAGTTTTTTGGGGATTTCCAGAGCTACAGTACCTTTTTGAGGCATTGAGAAGGCTCCTGAAAACTCATAAAAAATGAGAAAGCAAAACATGTCTGTCCTCCCTATATGAAGAACTTTAGGAAATAGCTTGTTAACATGTAGGTAAGTGTCCTGAAACATTTCTAACAAAATTGGACAAGGTAGGGGTAGAATTGTGTTGAGTACTTACATACCCCATCTTGATTTTGAAGGACCTGTACTCACAATTTTTTATTAATAGTACTTACTAATAAAATTTTAAACTTATTTCTTAAGAGTTTCTTACTTTTGGGGGTCAGAAATGAGACCATCTTGTTATAGCTATGACAGAGTGAAAATTTTTAAAAAAATGACTCATAGTCTCATTATATTTTACCCAAATTTTTGTCCCCTGCCCAAAACATTTTGTGAGCCCTACCATGGGCCAAATGCTGTTTGTTAAACTAAACATATATTAACCCTCAAGAGCTCCATCCCTCTTTCTTCACAACCTACTAAGTAAATCATCCCAGGAAACAAAGATGTAACATTGCTCGGCCTTTGGAATAATTTTTGAATCTGTAAATGTCTCTGAGCAGAAAACAAAACATTGCATAACGCGTTTTAAGCATTATTGTAAGTCCTGTGTTAACGGTGTGTTTGCTGCTCTGGTTTTGAAACACGTTTGTACATAAAGAAGTTGGCGTAAATTTTGTTAAATAAAGCAACTGTAAAATGTTCTCTGCCCTTTTATTTCAGTGTCGGGGGGCTATTTATTACATAGCCTCTCTTGCGGGGTACGTCTCTGAAACATGGAATGGCGTGCCTCCGTACAGCACAGGTGCCTTGAGTTCCAGCAGGGCATATTTTGGAGTCGATGCACTGCTGGTTAACCGTGCATACCCTGAAATGACACCAGGTTCCTTTTTTGTTTTGCTTTGCCTTAAATTCACAAGAGGTGCTGGTTTGGGCAGCAGTAACAGTTTCCATCCCATGTTCTGTAGCCTCATCAGGGATGGTATGTGGCCACTGCACCTGCCCTCGCTGTCTGGCCTCTCAGCGAGGAGGGGGCTGGGGAGGGAGAGTTGCCGAGCGGTTGACGAGCCTGCTGGACCACGTGGGCAGCTGCACTGTGACGCCGTCTGTGCAGACATCCTCAGCTCTGGCTCCACGCATACCCGGGAGGAAAGAGGACGAGGGTATTCGGTGGGGGCTTGGTTCTCTCATCTCATCCCAAGGGGTCAAAAAGGGAAAAGGAGAAATGGACTTGAGTTTTGGCAGACCCTGAAGAAAACATGACTTAAAATCAGCAATTTGCTGTTCTCATTTGTTAGCTGAGAGGAGTTGTCATCCTCCATCCCATAGATCTAGTCTAATAAGTGGTAAGTGGTCGCCTTTGGTTATTTAGGGGGGAATGGAAATCAAATAAGGCAGTGGAAGCCTCAGGGGGGGTTGAATTGCATGTGGACGACCAGGGGTAGCTGCGGTGTGAACAGAGTAGGGGCCTGGGAAGAAGCTGATGTCCAGGCCAGAAAGCGAGGGAGTGGCAGTTGCTAAGCCACATTTTGTTGTGAAGAAAACGTCAATTCAAGAAAGATGAACGTTTACATGAAGATGAGCGAAGTAACGTGCAAGCTGGTGTTTTGGCAGGAAACTCCCTGGCATCTGTAAAGCTCTTTGCAACATGTAGAGCCTTTTGCCGCCACAGGTTACACTCAGTATGAATTGACTTCTTAAGGTTCTAGCAGGGATCAGACGCCTTAGGATGGGATGAAATAGCATTCCGAGGAATGTGCACTTCGTCTAGAGCAGTGCTGTCCAATAGGAATATAAAGCGGGCCCCATATGTAATCTGAACTCTCTAGGAGCCACATTTAGGAGAGGAAAAAGCAGGTGAAGTTAAATGTTTTATTTGACCCAATCATCTAAAATACCAAAACATTTTCAATAAACATAAAATTGCTTGAGATATTTTGTGTATATAAACACACACACATACAAAGTATATATATACACTGTTTAAAACAAAATCTTTAGAAACCTGGTATGTATTTTCAACTTAAAGGTTTACATTTTAATGCTAAATTTTCATTTATAATGAGATACAGTCTTACCAAAACACTTAAGCTGTGTTGAGTGGCAAGATTTTAACTGCTTCCGGTTTTCAATTTAAATGAGAAATTCAGTTCAGGAACCCCAGCCACACTTCAGATGTTCATTACCCACGTGTATCTAGTGTTTACCACACTGAACTGCCTAAGACAGGGTAAAACATACTGTGTTTTAAATATTAGCTTGCATGTCTGAGTTCCTTGATAGGAAGAAGTGGATTTTATTTATCTACGTATCTCTAAAACTAGGGTAGGCCAGGCGAGGTTTCACTAACTCACATTTAGGAAATGCCAATTGTGTGCCAGATTCCACATCCATGCCCGGCAGTTCTATTTCTAGACCTGTACTTTACAAAAATGGTTGCACATGTGTCATTTAACATTTATTTTGCAATCCTAGTCAACCGAACAAGTGTTTATTTCTCATTGACACTGCACCCACGGTGCCAGGGAGACCTGTCTGATGGAGGGGGTCCCATCTTGTAGCTGCGCCATCTGAACCACTTGGGCCCCTTCCTCGGTGTGACAGCAGGAGGAGAGGATCTTGCACAGGCGGGAAACAACACACAGAACTTCCACTCGCGACCCACCGCCCCAGAAGTGGTCACACAACCTCCACAAGGGGCTATACAGTCCCACCGCCTCTGTGTGCAGATCGGTGGACTGACCGCTAGTGGCATCTAACACAGCGGATCCCAGGCTGAGTGCTGCTGGAGGGTTATGCATGGCAACTGTCCTGTGTGGAAAGCAACTTGTCAATCTGATAGTTGTGAAATGTTAACAGTCTGCTGAGACGTGGTGAAGATATGGAGAAATAGGAACTTCCACATGGTATTTGGCAATGTCTAAACTTGAAGAAGCAATGTATTGTTTTCATTTGCATTGCCCTGATTCCTAGTGAGACAGTATATTTTTAAGTGTTTATTGGACTTTATCGTATTCTGTGCATAGACTGCTGGTATTCCTTGTCCATTTTTGCTATTGAATTATTTTTAAAAGAAAATATAGACCCTATTAAAAATCCATAAAGAAAAAGTTTTCCTTTAGAAATCTCTCCCCACCTTGAGGTCAAAAAGATAGCCTTTGTATTAAGTTTAATATTAAAAATAAACTTCCATACAAGAGTGAACACTATAACAAAATACAAGCTGTCAGATATAGGCTTTGTAAAAGTCTTTTCCAAAAGGAGCTGGGTCCAAATCTTTTAAATGTCAGTTCCAGGTAAATTACTCAGTTGTCCTAACACCCATTACGGGAGAGCCTGCTTTTATCCCTGTGTGGGACACTACCTCCATATAGCCAGGTTCCGTATTTGTGTGGATCTATGGTTGGGTCTCTGTGTTGCTCCATTACCCTGTTTATTGTGCTTCTTCTTCAGAGTTAATTCTAATAAGATAGTTTACCATTGACAGAGGTATATACGAAGTGCAGACACTTTCCTTGGCAGATATTAGAAAGCTATATAATGATCTTGGCTATTCTTGGCTCTTTGCTCTTCCATGTGCATTTGAAAATCAGCCTGTCAGTCCCTGTTGAGATTTTGATTGGAAGAGCTTTGAATTTACAGACGCATTTGAAGAAAATTTCCATCAGTGGGAACATGCTATTACCATTTAGTCTGCTACTTGATTTGAAAATGTAATAGAAATAAAGTTGTGCTGGACCAAAAACGTTTTATAATTTATTCCCTTTTTGCGGGGGAAAAGATTTCATTCATAGTAACAATAAAAACTATAGGTTGCATAATCAATTAGAGCCATGAGGAAGGAAGAAAGAGAATTTTAGACCATCATATCACTTGCAATAAGAGTAGCAAAATTGCCAAGTACAAATTCGATATTTTAAAAATCAGTGAAAATTCCTACACATCGGCATGGCAATAGCTCTCATAGGAATGCTCCTATCACCTCTGCTATTCAACAGTTTAAGAAATGTCCTAACCAATGTGATATGAAATTATAAATTAAAATGGGCCTCTTTGTATTTTCTATGTAAGCAAAGATTAGAACTTGAAAGAGAAATATTGGAAGAGAGAAGTTTCCTTACAGTTTCACCATAATTTTAGAGTTTCAGCATAATTTTTCCATAGGTTTTTGGAAGATACATTTTATCAGCTTAAGGCAATTCCCTTCTATCCATAAGTTGCTTAGGTTTTTTTTTTCACAACTACATTTGTTAAACTTATATAACATATTTGAGTACTTTTTCTCTCTTAAAATTCTAACATGGTGTATTACTTGAATACACTTTTCTTATGTTAAATCTTCCTTATATTCCTTGGATAAACCATACTTTCTCATGATCTACTCATGTGTATATACTGCTGAGTTTCCAGATCTAATGCTAGAATCTATGTAAATGGTACTGGTCTGTAATTTCCTCTTTTAGTACTGTCCCTATACTATTTTATCAAGATATACTACTCTCCCAGAATAGGTGGGTCACTTCCTGTGCTCCATTTGATGCAAAGTATTTCAGAGAATAGATATCAGTTGGTCCTTGGAGAGTTAATCTTTCAGCAAAAACATCCTGACCAGGCATCTTTAACAGAAAAGAAGAAACATGGGTGGAGGGAGGGGAAGGTTGGAAAGTCTCAAATACTGATTTGATTTCTACAATGATTATCTGTTTTTTTAGGTTATCTATTTTTTTATTAAGTCAATTGTGCTCCTCTGGTCCACTCAATTCCATACACCTAGAAAAATAGAAACAATAGTCCTGTCTTTTTGATGCTTACATGTGAGTAGGATGATGCATCTTCTATTTTTTGTGGGACATACAAGTCCATGTGCCATCATGTAGAAAAACTACATCCCATCTAACCAAGTCAACAGAAGTCATGAAGCCAATCACTTGAAAAGGTGTGTGTTCATAATGTTCCAAAAATAAGATTTCATTCAGCTCATGAATGCAGCCCATAAAACCTCTGAAAGCAAGGTTCGCCTCATGCCAAGCACACTTGAAGACATGCCTCCATATGGATAAAGAACAGCTAGACAGCAAATGGTGCCTGGCAGGGAAGGAGCCTTAGCCAATTGCAGAGAGCAGTCACCAAGCTGTTGTTGCTAAAGCTTTTGTCTTCAGATGTTTCTCAGGGCACTTGTCATTCATTTTTCACAGCCCCAGTGCCTAGCATCTGGGTTTCCCCCATTGGCAGGACTGAGACATGCCTCATCTGGGGGTATGCTCCCCTTTAGAGGACCTAGGATACCAGACAAAAAGCCCATTATGCAAAGAGCTGTCTGATGGCAACACTGAGCCCATACTAGTTAGAATTATCTGGTAACAAAACTCAAATTTGTAGTGGTTCAAATTCAGCTAAGATTTATGTATCCTTGTGTGTAGTCCACTGGAGGCTGGGTAGCATTCCTGTTAATCTTGCCTTGGGGGCCATATATTTCAGACTGCAGAGTACAAAACAGACAAGAAAGGGGTGGAGGAGGAGAGAGGGCTGGCTCCTAATTGCTGCAGCTAGGAGGTGAGACTTGCCATGTCACTGACACTCCATTGGTTAGAATTAGTTCAAAGCTTCAACTACCTGCCCGGAAGATTAGGACATGTAAGGGAGCACAAGGAATATCTGGTAAACAACAATTTGCTACATTAACTGTGTGACTTTGAGCAAGTAA